CTCGAAGATCGGTGTTTTTAATTAATAAAGATAAATAGTTGTTATTTTTTAAGCGTGTTACCCGATCCAATTCTTGAAGAATGTCCAATTTTTTATTATTATTTTTTCACTATAACATTTTTCGGTATGAGGTCTTATACCATCAGAAAATTTTTAGGTGAAAATACAACAATTAAAATTTTATTTCGACAATTTTTGTTAGAAAATGTACGTAAAGATGTCATTTACCGAAAAAAGTTACACTGAGTAAAAAAATTACCTTTACACATTTTCTAACAAAAATTATCGAAATATAATTTTAATTGTTGTATTTTTACTTGAGAATTTTCTAATGGTATGAGACCTCATACCGAAAAATATTATGGTGAAAGAATAATAATAAAAAATTGAACATTCTTCAAGAATTGGATCGGATAACAGGCTTAAAAAAATAACAACTATCTATCTTTATTATTATTATTAATAATAATAATAATAACTTGTTATTATTATTAAAAAAAAATTTTTTATTCAAAATTTTAACAATAATAGTTTCTTTTTTTATTATTATTTGTCCTGATTTCTATTAATATGAATGATGAGTAGTTATTAATGAAGAGGAAGAGAGTACGAAAGAGGAAAATGTGTAAGCTATAAGTTGTGAATGACACGCACGATACAGATAAGAAGACAACGGATACGGAGGTTCCTGTTTTACAGCGGGGGTGAAAATGCATGTCCGGTCTAGTCTGCCCACTAAAAATTAAAATTTAAAATTTTGGTTGCACTTGGATGGTTTTTATATTTTTCTACGTTCTACGTTTTATGGTGTACTGATACCTGACCTCTGTAGAGGAGATAAGCGAGTTTTCAGGCTGGAAAATGTTTAGTTTATCGGAAATAAAGTAGAACGATAATTGGATCAAGTTCGGGCGGTTTTTTACCAGACGTTGATTTATTGAATTTCAGTGACAAGGGGGTTATCAAATAAGTTTGTGAAAGAGTAGGCGAGATGTCATTTCCTGTTGGTCCTCATGATTATTTTTAACTTTTATCTTTTTAGGCTAAGATTTAATTTTTATTAAAATAAGAAATTTTATTTTAAAATTTAATTTTTAAAGTAGAATTTAAAAAATAGTTTTTCATTTTATATTTATCTGTTTAAAAAATTATAATATTATTTATTATTGTGTTTTATTTGCATAACTTTACAGTTTTATACAAGTTTCTTTTTTTTTTTTTTTTTTTTAATAATTATTAAATAAATATTTCAAATATTTTTTAACTATTTTAGACATTTAAAATATTATTTAATATTTTTTAGTATTACCAACCATAAAATTTTTTATTTTATTAATTTTTTTATAGCGACTCTTAAATGTCTAGAGTATTAAAAATTTTTATATAAAAATAATCTCCAAGGATTTTACATGGTCAGCTGGTGTAAATTTCATCAGTATAAGATATCAAATGAAACTATTTCGATATTTAAAAACATCCACGTGTCTTTTATTGTTAATGTCAAAAATTAAATAATCGAATACTGTTTCAATAAATTTTATAATAAATATTGCTATCATAAGATCAATTAAAAAAATTTTTTTTTTAATTTCTTCAAGTCAAAATTTCAATAAATTACTAAATTTTTTTTTATTACATAAATTATAATTTATTTATTTTATAAATCTTTAAATCGTTTTATTTTACTAATTAAAAAACAAATTAAACAATTGCCATTGAAAGTCAATAACAATAAAACAAAACCAAACAATGAACATATGAATGATGAACTATGAATCTAAGTAACAATAACAAAGTAGCAAATGATAATAACATAACTTCCTATTCTCATTGACAATCCGAGAATCATCACAATTAAAATAATGAAGACAATCTATTATTATATATTATACAGTTAATTGTAAAGCCATATATGTATACATAAAATAAAATAAATAGTAGCACGATCGACGAAACCGGATCTTGTATCCTGATATTGTTCCTATCCGATCCTTTCAGACCGAAACCAGCATAAATCCTCTCCCATATTCTGTTACTTGCGCTCATCAAAATTGGATTACATGATCCGCGGTTAGAAGCAAAAAACAAATATTTAAACCAGCAAATCATTCCGGAATGTCTACTAGAGTGTTCCTTGTTCTCGCCGGATGTCATTTGATTTGATAATTTTTCACTTACTCCATTAATAATTTAATATAAATTAATGTTCGCTGATATCTCACAGTGAACCAGGAAATTATTTTATCTTTAAAATATGTTAGATAAATTTTGTTTTTTAAATTCTATAGAAAATATATTTTTACACAGAAAAAAAAATTTACTTGAATCAAGTAAATAATTTTGAAGAACATTAGCTTCTTGATTTGAGTAGAAAAATTTTTAAACAAAAATTTTTCTTGTTTTAAATAAATTTCACATGATTCAAAAATTTTTCTTTTGATTTGAGTTAATTTTTTTTTCTGTGTACACTTATGAAAAATTTGTATAAAAAATATTTTTTTAATAATTTAATTTTTTCAGATTTTATATATTTTTAATGATACTAAAGTTAGCCGACGTTCAAAAATTTTTCTATTTTTTTTAACAATTAAATTGCAAGTAAAAAAATAATTTAAAAAAATTGCACGTATAATTTTTAAAATTTTCTACATGTGCAATTTTTTATTTTAATTTTATAGTAACAATTTTTTCAGTAAAAATAATTATAAAAATTTTCAGATGTCAGTTAATTTAATTTTCATATATTTTTAATGTAATTTAGAAAAATTAAAGACATCGAATAGAATATTGGTGACAAATTTGGCGTCCCTGACACCGGATAAAATTTTTGTCACTTACCATGCATTACTTTCTCCTTATTTAACTTCGCTCGTGGACCCCGACGTTACCATAAAAAGTAATCATCGTCATATGCAGCTTTATGCAACCAACTTTACTTAAAATAAAAATAATAAAAAAGAAATTCTCACTTCTCAGTTTTGTTGTAATGCAATCAGGTGATTTATCACGGAAAACTTTTACCCGCTGTTTAATAAAACTTTATTGCGTCCTACAGGTACTGGGCTCGTATTATTACAATTATTATAATTATAATTGTAGTAATTTTTATTTTTATTTCGGTAATAAAATATTTAAAGTGTAACCTCGGGCTAAATCCCGTAAAATTCGTAATGTAATTCCTCGGGGCGTTTTACATTTAATATTTTTTTAATTGTTACAATGATATTTTATGATTTTTTATTTGACTAAAATTTATTGAAATTGAATTTCCAGAAATTGTAATCGTAATTCTAATTATAATCGCTAAGATAATATATGTTATTAATTATGAATAATTATTCTTCCGCCAAAGGAGTTATTTTTGCACCAAACGATGACTTCATTAAAAATCGCAATGAAAGGCCGCTTTGTCGGTGTCGATAAAAAGTTAAATTTTTTTTTTTTTTTATAAGTTCCAGCAAAAGTTTCGTCTGAGAAATGAAGCAATTTGACTGTGATTAAATTTGGGGCGTTTAGTTTAAGAAAAGTTTGTTTTCGTGATTTTATACTTCAGCAGTTTTATCTTTAAAAATTTTACAATTTAATTTTTAAAGTTGGAAATTTCAATTTATAAAAACTATGACATTAGAAATTTTTACCGAGGGTTGACATTTTAAAAATTCAAAGTTTGACTTTAAGAAATTTATTTATTTGAAAATTACAATTATAAAAAATCGGGCTTATTTAAATTATACTGTAACTAGCAACCTTGCAGTCATTACGTGACTGCCGTGAATTGTGAACTATAACTAAATAATATTTTACTTTTTTAAATAATGACTTTTGTTAAATTGCGCTGTACTTTATTAATTATTGACGTTTTTAAAGATATAAGCTCATCTCGATGTTACACTAATCGAGAGCCTTCATTTGAGTACCAACATGCATTTTGATATATTTTCCATATATACATATATATAATATACATAAATATATGAAAAATTGATGTGGGTACTCAAATGAAAGGTCTTAATGAGTATAACATCGGGATGAGCTTATATCTTTAAAAATGTCAATAGTTGACAAGATACAACGTCATTTCTTAATTATGTTAAATTGCACTGTACTTTCTTAACTATTGATGTTTTTAAAGATATAAGCTCATCTCGATGTTACACTAATTGAGAGCCTTCATTTGAGTACCCACATGCATTTTGATATATTTTTCATATATACATATATATAATATATATAAATATATGAAAAAGTGATGTGGGTACTCAAATGAAAAGTCTTGATGAGTGTAACATCGGGATAAGCTTATATCTTTAAAAATATCAATAGTTCACAAGACACAAGGTCATTTTTTAATTATGTATCTAGAGATAGAGAATTTTCGAATGCAGCTTGAATACTTAAAATAAATTGACTGTGATAATGATATGAAACCTTGAAAAGGCACAAATTCATGTCAAGACCTTTGCTATGACACTAAATTTCACTAAAAAAAACCGATTTTATCATATGACTATTCTGGACACAAAATTTTTCTTATTCTCTATAGATAATATAAATTAATGCTTTTTAATTTTATAACTCAACAATAAATCACTTAATAAAAATAATCAAAGATTTTTTTCGTAGGAAAATTAACAATCTATAAAATAAATTTCAATAAAAATTTTAATTTCTCCAAAATCAGGCAAAATCTTTTTGAAATTATAAAATTATTTATTTCAAACTTTTTGCAAAGAAAAATCCTATAAATTCTTTACAAAAATTATCATATAATGTCCTCTTCTCTTTAAAAAATTAATTTAATAATTTTTTGTCAAATTTTGACCAACAAAAACTCGATAAAAAATTACTTTTCTCCAACATAGAATTTTTCCATAAAATATAAAATAAAAATAATGATTTGTTGATTGAAGAAATCAAGTAAGAAATTCCAGAATTCGATCAAAAGGAAACAAACTAAAAAATAATTATAAAAGCCATGTGCTATCGGTATAAAAAAATTAATGATCTGGCTGTCGGTAGGTCGTACCTCGTGTTTACTTAGGACCGTTTTACAGCAACGGTTACGGTTTAGTTTTCTAAATAAGTCACTCAGATAAACTTTAAACATCTTGAGTAACGTAAACTATTTTCTTAATTTATTCAACCAATCTGTTTTTTCTCCAGTTTCTTCTTTATATAATAATTGCTTATCTTTATTTAATATTTAATATTTCACTCCCGACGTCGCTAAGCTGCATTACGTTAAATTAAATAAAGAATAACAAATTAATTTTTAATGTTTTATTTTTTAGGGAGATGACGGTATTCCGGGATTCGTCGGGGTTCCGGGAAAGTCGGTGAGTAAAATAAACCATATTTTAAAAGTTCTTGTTATTATTATCAAAAATAATAATAAGAACTTGTAAAAAATGAATGAATAAATAAATATTTAAATATTAAATAGGGACATACAGGAATCGCGGGGGTGAGAGGTCCCGATGGTCTCGACGGGTGTAACGGTACCGATGGTCGTGCAGGCCCACCAGGAATACCAGGCTTGTACGGCCCGAGAGGATTGCAAGGCCCTGATGGAGATTCAGGTCCGATCGGTGAACCTGGTGAAGGTGGAATTAATTCTATTGGTGTAAAAGGAGACCGTGGTAACCCTGGAATTGATGGTCCTCAAGTAAGTCTTTTTTTGTAATTAAATCAAGAAGTTATATACTTACTTAGAAGGCCAAAAAATTTTTTCTGTGTAAGGTAAAGTACCCAGTAGTTAAATAGGTTTTAAAGTAAAATGTATTAGACCCTACTTTTAATATATAAAGATGGAATTATTAGTTAAAATTATAGATTATAGATTTTGTTTATTAATGCCAAGGCACAGGCCAAATGGCAATTTCTATTACATAGTATAACAATTTTTACAAGAAAACAATTTCTGTTTCTGTGAGTACATAATATAGTATTGCACAAAAATTATTTTAAATAATTCGTATATAAACATAATAAAAACAAATTAAACTTAGAATTTAATACAGAAAATAATAATTTAAAAATATAATATTTTGATGTCATCAAATCAGATGATAACTCAACATAATAAATCTGCAATTGTACTGATTTTATCCATATTTTAATTTTCAATCTTTAATGTAATTTAGCTCAAATTTGTGATTTATTTGACGTCGTTTTAATTATCAAGATTTAATAAATAATTGAAAACTTCTTTTTTAAAGACTTGCAAGCTACTCGAATTTACGATTTCGCGTGGAAGTGATTTTCATGAAAATAAAAACAATTTTGAATTGATTGAAGCGCAAAATAACAAAGATAATTGAATATTTATATTTTTAAAACGTTTTTAAGATATACTATGAAAGGAGTAGTAGTTGAACTAATAAAATATGTGGCAATAGGCACACCAAAAATTTTCAACGTTTTATTAAAATATCAAAAAAATTATAACATATTATTATTTAATATTAAAAATAATACTACAGGATGACGACTGAACACTAATTTCAAAATTCCCTGACTTTTCCCTGACCAAAATTAAAATTCCAGAACCTAAAAAAAATAATTGTTATTTAAATATTCGTTATAATTGCAAATTATTTTAAAAATAATTTTTGTATGCTAGAACTCATATCAAATATCCAGAATTGAGTAAAAATTTGGAACTATAAATTATTTTATACTTTTTTGCAGATTTTCAACTATTCAGAAGAGATCAGTTTCTTTCAATTAAATGTTTATATCTTTTGAAAATACAATAATTGATATTATTATTATCATTAACCATTGAGAAGTTATACTTTTTTTTTTATTATTAATTATCCATACATTTAGTTTTTTTAATATTATTGATCAAAAAAAAGAAGAAATATAAATTAAGAAATTAAATAACACCAATTGATATTAAACATTATATACAGTACGATTTTTAAAATGCTATAGAAATAATTTATTATTTCTACAGCATTCTAGTTTATTTTTTGAAATAAACTAGAAATTTCCCTGACCCAAGTTAAAACTCCCTGACTTTTCACTGACTATTCCAGAAATTTCAAATTCCCTGACATATCCAGGTTTTCCAGGTCAATCGCCACCCTGTACTATGAATATTTAATATGTTGATTTAAAAATGAGAAATATTTGTATTTAATTTTTTAATTATATTTTTTATGAATGACAAAGTAAATTTTCAATTATAAATCTAAAAAACTCAATTTAAAACGCTCAATAATTTTTAACTACATTAATTTTTAGCTGTAAAACTTATTTAATTTACAGTAATTAATACAAATCACAATAGTGATCATGATCACTAGTCTATAAACCTATTAGAGATTAGAGTTCTGTTAAAATTATACGGCCCCAGCTTGTTCAAGTTCTGGGTAGCGCTTTAAAAACTTGGAGGTATAGTTAAACGCTCAAATTTAATATAAAAATTATAGTTTATGTCTTTGCAAAAAATATGTATTATTAAGAAAAGACTATTTTATTGGGTGGTACAATTTTTTTTAATTTAAAATGATGATATACCGTTTTTTTTTTTTTACTAATTGTTAGGTTTACGGTTTAGTACCTTTTTCATGAAAAAAATAGCATCTATCGGCTATTCTCGACATGTCAACTCTTAAGCTAACACAAATATAATTATTTTGATTTATAATTGAAAAAATGTACATAAATCAATTACTGTATCATTGAATAATTATAACATGCACATATTACTCATAATAAATTTACGAATTTTGTGTTACAACAATTCGAAACGTCTGTTCAAGTACTGGTCCCATTTTTATAAATGTTCAAGTACTGGGTAATTTACCTTACAATAATTAAATTGCAAAAATAAAATTATTTTTAATGCTAAGCAATTTATTTTTTAGGGGTTCGATGGCGAATTTGGATACCCCGGAGAAATGGGATACCCTGGAGAAACAGGAGATATGGTAATTAATAATTGTTTAGTAGTAGTAGTTATTAGTCTAATTAATATTGATTAAAAAGCCTGGTGGTATTATCTTAGGCACAGATTCATTGTCACTTCCTTTGACGGTTAGCTTTATCAAGCTTTATGCACTTTATCAGTTGATATAAACTAATATGTCTGTGGCTACCGATAAAAATGACAAGAATTTAGGTTGCGTCCCACGTTTATTTTATTTTATTCATCACGCTGATGAAATCAAGTCTATTACAATCATTCTACTAATTATTGTCTTTCAACTTAAATAATAATAATAAAAAAAAGATGAAGAAGAAGAAGAAGTAGAAGAATAAGAAATATTTAAATCTTTAAGATTAATTTTTCAATAAGGAATAAAATTTTACTCAGGATAAGATTATTGTCAGTATATTTATATACATAAAATATATAGACATATTTTTGCATTGGATAAAATTTTATCTTGAATTGAACAACTGGCCCTTAGAATGTGAAAAGATTTATTTTTAATAATAATAATCAAAAAAATTGACTAAAAAATTTTTTTAATTAATTTTGTTGAAAATATTTTTTAAAATAAAAAAGTAAAAAAATTTTTTTTTTTAATATAATTCTAAATTTTTATAAACAACTTTTTTTTATATTGAAATATTAAATATTCTTCTTGATATAAGTTTTAAAAAATCGAATTTTTGTTAATATACTTTCTTAAAAGAAAAAAATTTTTTTTTCCTATCAACTTGTAAAAATAAAAAAAAACTTTTTTTTTTTTTATAAAGTTAACACTAAAAATTTGTTAATTTTCTATAAAAGCAAGTAATAAGTAATAAAATGATTGTTTTTACTAATAAAAGCTTGTAAAAAAAAATTCTGTAGGGATACCCAGGTCCTGTAGGTCTTCCAGGTCTTCGTGGTGACCAAGGTGACACAGTTTACGGAATCCAAGGCCAGGTTGGAGAACAAGGAGACCGCGGAGAGCCTGGCCAGCCGACTATTGAGCTGACGAGAACTCAAAATACGCTTCTGGTGAAAGGACCCATGGGTCCCAAAGGTATTCGTGGCGACTACGGCGACTGGGGAAGGAAAGGAGAGATCGGAGAGCGAGGACTTACTGTAAGTACAATTTTATCTTGATTAAAAGTGTATTTTAATTTAATCGAACAATAATTTAATTGAATAATTTTGGTAACAGGGACGGCCTGGTTATGTTGGTGTGAAAGGAGTCAAAGGTGAACAAGGTGACGATGGACCGAGAGGTAAACAAGGAATCCAGGGGCCTTTGGGTCCCGCTGGAGAAAAAGGAGAGAAAGGAGCTCCAGGATACGAAGGAAAACCTGGAGAGGATGGATGGGATGTAAGTTTTTAAAATAATTATTTAAAAATTGAAATTCTGGGTTAAGTATTGGAGGTACAAAAAAATTATATCAGACCTTTTTTCTATCTCGCTTACTTTAGCCAGAATATCAATTTAAAGTTTAAAGAAATTCACTGTAGAGACCTAGAGTATTAAAAAAAAATTTCTTCTAAATTCCAAGGCAATATTATTTTTTTTTTTTTTTAATAATTATAATAATTTTTTTGATTTAGGAAGAATTTAAAGTTTTAAGAAATTCACTGTAGAGAGTATTAAAAAAAAATTTCTTTAAAATTCCAAGACAATATTATTTTTTTTTTTTAAATAATTATAATAATTTTTTTGATTTAGGGAGAACTTGGTGAACCAGGAAACAGAGGACCACCCGGTCGACAAGGAGCTCCCGGAGAAAAAGGTCAATACATTCCCGAACTCGATGAAATAGTAATAGGACCGATTGGAATTCAGGGAGATCTAGGACCGCCCGGAGAACCAGGACACTCTGGAAGCGACGGAAAGCCTGGATTAGTTGGATACATTGGTCCTCCAGGATCTCCTGGACCTAAAGGTGCTCCTGGTGAATCTGGACCTAAAGGATCTTCAGTTAAAGGCGAACAAGGAGATGATGGTAATTTTTGTCTTTTTATTTTGTAATTATTTTTATAAAAATAATTAACATTAAAATTTGAATTTTATTTTTATTCAGGATTACCCGGAACACTGGGTCCAATGGGACCGATAGGAAAACCGGGATTACCAGGAATCGTAGGAGCTAAAGGATTCCCCGGGGTGACAATAATCGGTCCTCCAGGTCCTGACGGTCAGCCAGGATTCGAGGGACTAAATGGACCACCTGGTGATCGAGGAGATCCTGGACCACCTGGTAAATAAAATTTATACTATTTATATTATTTATCTGAATACTTACCAACTAATCAATAATAAATTTATCAACAGGTGAAAAGGGATTCCCCGGAAAAGGAGCAAAAATTCAAGGCCCGCGCGGTGAAGATGGTCTGCCAGGAACACCAGGAACCCCTGGACCAGATGGTTGGCCAGGAGTTCCAGGTTTCAAGGGCGAAAAAGGATTCCGAGGCGATGATTGTGGAGTTTGTGCTCCAGGTAACATAAATTTACTGACATAAATCCAGAAAGAATTCACTAGAATTAATAATTATTAAATAAAGCTATTAATAAATATAATTAACGTGGGATTTTACGGTGAATTCCTCCCACTCGGTTTTATGTTGACCTAATTAGTTTGACATTCAGTGCTAGCATTAAATATTTTGCATCATTCATCTTACTGCAATATAAAGAAAGATTAATTAATTATTTTGCCAATCAATTTCAATTATTAATAAATTAATATCAACATTACAGGCTTGCCGGGGCACAAAGGAGACAGAGGTGACTCTGGACTAAATGGATACCCCGGAGCTCCAGGATTCGCAGGCCTCCCAGGGCCTCGAGGTCTCAAGGGCAAGCACGGAAGACCAGGAAGCATCGGACCGATGGGTCTTGAAGGCGAAAACGGACGACCTGGAATCTCTGGGCCCCAAGGGGCCAAGGGATTCCCCGGATCCATCAAATGGCCTCCTCGTGGAAAGCTTGCGGCTCCTTCTGGAGATCGCGGAGACAAAGGGTACCCTGGGTTCGAGGGCCTCCAAGGGCCACCTGGCGCTTCTGGTGAAATAGGCGATGTTGGTCCTGCAGGTCCTAAAGGAGAAAAGGTACAAAGTTATTTTTTATTTTTTATAATTTGTAATTAAGATGATTAAATTATGATGATTTATTTTTAGGGAGAGTTTGGAATGCCTGGAAAACCTGGAAGAGACGGAAGACCAGGCTTCGATGGCTTGCCTGGAGAAAAAGGCGACGATGCTGAAATTCCTAAAGAATACTTGCAAGGTGATCCCGGATTGGACGGCACTCCGGGTCCGAAAGGAGAGAGAGGAGAACCTGGAGCTCGAGGAGAGTCTGGAACGTCCTCGGAATACAATATTGACATTACCGGTGACAAAGGAGTCAAAGGAGAACGTGGTGGACCTGGTAAATTTATACAGCTTATAAGAAAAAATTTTTGGTAATTATTTACAAGTGGGGTCCACTCTATTTTTGGCCATATCTAGGTGAAAAATTAACATTTTCAAATTTTATTTTATTCTGCTTGTTTTTACGGAACATTTATGATAAAAAATGCCGTGAAAGAAAAAAATTAAGATTTCGATAGCTTTTTTGCCTTCAAAAGTTGGAGAAAATTTTGGCTCTCATGTTTTAGGATAAAATTTCTATTTTATCTTTTTTTGATGTTTTTGATATATATTTTTTTTTAAAGTACATAAAAAAACGAACAATTAAAAAAAAAAAAATTTTAATATCACAATTTTCAAAAAAATTCATAAATTTTTTTGAAAATTGTGATATTTGTTAAAATTGTGATAATCAACTTTCTTTTTTTTTATTTGTTCATTTTTGTTATGTATTTTTCAAAAAAAAAAAAAATATATCAATAAAATCAAATAGAAATTTCGTTCAAAAAAATGAAAATTAAAATGGTGAGACCCTACTTGTAAATTTTTACCGAATTTTTTTTGGGAGAAAAAAAAATTAAATTTAGTTTTTAAAAAATCTGAAAATTTAAGATAAGTGTAACTTAAATTTCTAATAATTTTTGAAAAATTAAATTTAACAAAAAATCATAAGAGACTTTTTTGTAGATCAATTAATTTTGTATAAAACTATGCATCATGCGGGTTGATAAGTCGATTGTGAATCATATCAAGAGAATCGTAATCTACATCATCAACTTCACATTGTAATTTTTAATATTGTATTACAGGTCATCCAGGAATGAAAGGATATCCAGGACGAACTGGAGATGAAGGTTGGTTCGGAACTCCAGGTTTGCCTGGGTCGCCAGGTATTTCGATTCAAGGTCTCCAAGGTTTGAAAGGGTATGCTGGTATGCCAGGAGACCAGGGTCCTCGAGGTTTTCCTGGTGAACCTGGTAAACAAGGTCCAGTTGGTTTTCTGGTAACTATTTCAACCATTATAATTCTTTTTTACTTAAATATTAATTATTGTTTAATTAATAAATAAATTGTTGATGTAATTTAGGGACCACCAGGACAAAAAGGAGACCGTGGAGATGCCGGAACAAACCAATTGTACGGAGATATCGGTGAGCAAGGTTACCTCGGTGAGAAAGGTGACGACGGAGACGATGGACAACCTGGTAGGCGTGGTCAGGAGGGCGAAAATGGGCCCAAAGGTGTCAAAGGGTCTAAAGGTGCTCCTGGATTCGAGGGATTACCTGGACTTCAGGTATAATTTATAAAATTTTAATTAAAAAAAATAATTTTGATCCTGACAATTTTTACAAACTTTTGATTTTTGTATCAGGGTGCGAAAGGAGTACGAGGAGACAGTATTCAAGGATTCCGTGGGTTCCCGGGTAGTCCTGGAGCACCTGGAATCCCAGGTATGCTCGGTAATTTCGGTGTGAAAGGTCAAGATGGGTCACCTGGATACCGAGGAATCAAAGGATTGAAAGGAGAGATCGGATTCCATGGTCGTCATGGTGAAGACGGTGACATGGGACCTGAAGGGTAATTATTTTTATACAACCCTAAAGTACAAATTATTTATTTATTTAATTATGAAATTTATATTATATTTAAAGCTAATAGGGTTTTAAAAATTCAAATGCGTTATTTTTTTAAGCTCTCTAAAATATAAATTATAAATTATAATTATAAATGTAGTATTATTATTCAGTTATTAATTTTAAAATTTTGAAATTTTTTTTTAAAGAACATGAATCTAATAAATTTAATTGTAGAGTTAAATTTAAGTAAATTTTCAATATTATAAAAATACAATAAATCATATTGCACATATAAAAATTATGAAATTGTCCAATTAAATTTACAAGACTCATGTTTCTAAGGGAGAACATTACTGTGACGGTCGAAAAAAAGGTGACTTTCGGGAATTTTTTTTATAGGGAAAATAAAGGAATTTAGGGTTCGGATTTTCTTTATTTTATTAAGGGTACATTCAAGATTATTACCCTAAATTTTTATTAAAAAATATTTCATTATTACAAAGTTATTAATAATCTCGTAGAGCGCTAGAAAAAATTCGCATCGATAACTCAAAAACGGATCATCTGAAAATAAAAACCCAAATTGCTTTTTAATCAGTAAGGACGTAGTTATCGTTGAACGTAAGGTAAAAGCCCCAATAGATGATCATATATCTATATTTGTGAATATAGATATACAAATACATGGAGTGATTATATACTGGTACATGATCATCTATTGAGGCTTTTACCTTACGGAATTTTGAAAATTTTAGTTTTCAACAAAATGACAACTGATTGAAAATTTTCTCATTATTTTTACTGTTTTTTTTTTTTTGTTTTAACCCGGCTAAAAAAATCGTTAAAATCAAAATTTTTTAAATTCCGTACATACAACGGTAAGGTAACTACATCCTTACTAATTAAAAAGCAATTAGGGTTTTTATTTTCAGATGATCTGTTTTTGAGTTGTTGATGCGACCATGGAGGGGGAGATTTTTTCTAGCGCTCTACAAGATTAATTGTTAATAACTTTATAATAATTAAATATTTTTTAATAAAAATTTAGGGTAATAATTTTGAATGTACCCTTAATAAAATAAAAAAAATCCGATCCCCAAATTTCTTTATTTTCCCTGTCAAAAAAATTCCCAAAAATCAACTTTTTTTTCGACTGTCACAGTGGTGTTTACCCCTTAAAAAAAATTTTTTAAACTAACAATAAACTGTAATTTAAAATTTAATTGTTACATTACTATTCAGTTACCCTGGAATGGTCGGAATGCCTGGACTCCCAGGTCGACCAGGCGACGACGGAGACATGGGCGAAATCGGCGAGCCCGGACCGCCAGGATGGATAGGCTTGGATGGAATCGATGGCATGCCTGGAGTGAAGGGAGAAATAGGTGACGAAGGATTCCCAGGATTGCCAGGGCCACCAGGTCCGATGGGTCCTCCGGGTCCCATTGGTGATGTCGGCTTCGATGGAATTCCTGGAGAGTCTGGAGAAAACTCGTTCAGCGGACCCCAGGGTGACATGGGTGACACTGGAGCCAAGGGAGAGATCGGAGCCCCAGGGTTACCTGGCTTCGACGGAAGACCTGGACTTCCTGGAGACATCGGTCGCGAAGATCTCGGCTTCGATGGTTTGCCGGGAGAAAAGGGAGACCGAGGCTGGGACGGCGTCAACGGAAGACCTGGTCCCAAGGGAGAGATTGGAGACATTGGACCTGATGGAGTCAAAGGAGAGAGGGGAGACTATGGATTGCAAGGACGACCTGGTACTCCGGGAATCCCGGGAAGAGATGGAGAGAAAGGAGAGATTGGACCCATGGGACCTGCTGGATACAATGGACCCAAAGGAAAGCGTGGATTGGATGGTGATCCAGGTGCTATTGGACGACCAGGAAAGCCTGGAGATGCCGGACCTAGAGGATTCTCTGGACTGCCAGGTCTTGAAGGACCTAAAGGAGAGACAGGAGAACCTGGATTGCCTTCGTACGCTGAAGCTGAGAGGGGAGATTGGGGTGATGATGGCTATCGCGGGCTTAGAGGTAGAAAAGGTGAACTTGGTGATATGGGTCTTTCTGGTTTCCCTGGTCGTAAGGTAATTTTAAAATTATTTATACACTGATAGAAAAATTTATTGATTATTAAGGGGGATAGCCACTGTGAGGATCAAAAAAATAGGTGATTTTCGGGAATTTTTTTGACTGGGATAATAAAGAAATTTGGGAAAAAATATCATGTTGTTACAAAGTTATAAGCATTTTTATGGAACACCAAAAAAATTTCCCCCACCACGGTCTCATCTCTAACTCAAATACGGATTTTCTAAAACAGAAAAACCAAACTGCGTTGTATTCTGCATGCATGTGGTCATTATTCCATGTAAGGGATTTTGAAAATTTGGATTTTAAAAAAAATGGCGACACATTAAAAATTTTCTCATTTTTTTGGATTCAAACAGCCCCAAAAAATCTTGAATATCAAAATTTTCAGGATCCCCTACGTGCAACTATAGCTACTGAATAGACGAATACGGAAAAAAAAGTTGCAAATTGGTTCATATTTATGCAAATTACAGATGAGACCAGTTCGAAGAAAGTAGTTTAAAAAAAAACGCGTTTTTGTCGGAGCGCCGCGCGTGCGACGTTCATTTGACGCGGTGTTACAAAAATGACTATATCTTGAAAAATATTCAGAATTTTCCTAAAAAACTCAAGATACATATTTTGAATATATAAACTTTGATTTAGACGTAAACGCAACTTTGCACAATGAAAACAGCGTTTTTCCGAAGAAAAATAAATCTGACCACGACAGATTCAAATCTAGCAAAGCTATCGCTTCTGCTAATTCCAAAGCTAAACTTGAAGAGGAGGACGACGAGCGTGGTCTGCTTATCAGCAAAACATCAACAACCACAATTACCATGACTTCCCGGACAAATATCACGATAATAAGCGACTCCAAGGAGCAAAAGGGACTCAAAGGTTCGGGGCAGAAAGATAATTTGAGAAATGGCGCACAACTTACGCTACTTACACAAGTTTAAGCATATCAATTATAATAACTAGAATTTGGTTTAATTTAAGTTGCAAGAGATTTCCGGTCATCTGTATTTCATCCTCTTTCACTTTCTCCGTCTGTCTTTCCTTCTGTCCTTCGCTCCACTTAGTTTATTGCCAAGAGTTTGCCAGAGCTTCCAATGAAACACCAAGTTTAGTTGGATAAGCTCCGTAAATTTATCAAACGAGTCTCTCTACACGTATTTATATTACTAACAATACATCAAGGCTTGTACGTCAAATATTCTGTGTATTGTACATGTGATAGGAGACGTAGACTAGGTGGATGTAATTCACCGACTGAATTCCATAATCTTCACTTTATATTATGCAGCGTCACTGAAGATAGAACACGCTTGTTTACCTTCAAGGTATTATATATAATAAAATACTTTATTCACTGAGGATTTTCGTCCTGGTTTTTGCTGCGGCTTTGTTAAATATTCAAAGAACAATGATGAAAGATATTACGGAATTTTCATTTTTTAAATATATAATAAATTTAGATTTTTTTTTTTTTTTTATTAAATTTACAGGTATTGATAATAAAATACTTATAAAACAACTTTAAACTGGAGTCAACTTTTAAAAATTTACGAGTCATCTTAGTTATTTTTTTACTCGTAAAAATTCTTACATTAATTTAATTTGTTTTTTTAGAAAATTTCTAATTAGTTTTTATCTCAATGTCTACTAAAAAAAAAAAAAAAAAAAATTATAGCTATCAAGCCGACGTATTTTACGGAAAAATCTCTAGTGAAAAAAACAATCCGTATATATTTATCACGACACCCCCGTGAGGAAAAGACTACCAGTACAAATAATGTGCTCTAGTCTCGTTTAACCCAAAATCACTGACCCATGTTCTCAGGAAGCACACTGAAAAAAATTATTTGATCCGAAAAAAAATATTTTTTTTTATATTACTTCTCTTAAGAGGCCATGAAAGAAGATTTGATAAAACATCTTTATGAGATAAAATTTTTGGTCCATTGTTTTGAGCTAAATTTTGGACAGATTTTAATAAAATTTAAATCACATATAAAAAATAGAATAATAAAAGCAGGAAACTAATTTATTTATGAAATTTTTACAAAAAAAAAATTAATTCAAAAGAAAAATCGCAACTTTATACAGCTTACAGAAATCTACGTCGAAATAATGAATTTTTGTTTATTTTATGGAAACAATGATTATAAAAAAGAGTTCCCTGCATTTTTTGTCACTACTTAGTTATACAAAATTTATAAAACCGATTATTTATAATCACAATTATTAATAATAATGCACCGAATGTACGATAATTACATGTATAATGCACCGAATGTAATTATCGTACAACTGACAATTTTTTTAATTTTTATAACTAATCAATTAATATAAAATTTCCACAAATAATTTTTTTTTAATTTTCACATGTGGAATTTTTTATATAAAAATTTAATTGCTGAAAATTCTAAAAAAAATTTTACAATGTCTGTCAACTTCAGTATCATAATAAATTTATTTTTTTTAAAACAATTTATTAAATATAAATTAATTTTGTTTTAAAATTTAATAAATATATTTTTTTTAATAAAAATAAATTTATTGTCAATTAATAATAATAAAAAAATTTTTATTTCCTCAGGGAATTATAGGTGACGAAGGTTTCCAAGGCCCTGATGGTTACGCCGGCTTACCTGGGCTCCCAGGACTGCCGGGAGATCAAGGTCCAACTGGTCGACCAGGCCCTCCGGGAGAGTTCCCAGAGCCTGGAGAGCCAGGTATGCCGGGACTGAACGGCATGCCGGGTCTCCCAGGTCGTCCTGGCCAGAAGGGAGCGCCAGGAGAATATGGACCTGACGGGCCCAAGGGAATTCACGGAGAGCCTGGAAGAAGTATTCCTGGGCCGAAAGGTGTGCATGGAGATCAAGGACCTCGTGGTTATGAAGGACGCCCAGGAACTCCGGGTCCAAGAGGGCTCGAAGGCTTCCCTGGAGAACTCGGGCCCAAAGGATTCCGCGGAGAGCCAGGGTACTCAAGCTACGCACCAAAGGGTGAAACTGGAGATGTTGGTTTTCAAGGTCGAGATGGAAAACACGGCGTTAAAGGAGAAATCGGTGGCTCTGGCAGAGATGGATCTCGCGGGTATCCTGGCTTGAAGGGAGAGCAAGGAGAGTCTGGATTCCCAGGTCTTCCTGGACTTCCTGGAGCCGATGGACCTAAGGTGATTATTCAATTTATTAATTTACTATTTTTTATTTAAATATATTAATAGTAGCAACCTTGCAGTCACTATGGGACTGCCGGGACTTGTGAACTATAAATAAATAAAATTTTGCTGTATTAAATAATGACTTTTGTTAAATTGCCATGTACTTTCTTAACTATAGATGGTTTTAAAGATATAAGCTCATCCCGATGTTACACTCATCAAGAGCTTTCATTTGAGTACCCATATGCATTTTGATATATTTTTCATATACACATATATATAATATATATAAATATATAAAATATATGAAAAATTGATGTGGGTACTCAAATGAAAGGTCTCGATGAGTGTAACATCGGGATGAGCTTATATCTTTAAAAATGTCAATAGTTCACAAAATACAAGATCATTTCTAAATTATGTTAAATTGCACTGTACTTTCTTAATTATTGACGTTTTTAAAGATATAAGCTCATCCCGATGTCACACTCATCAAGAGCTTTCATTTGAGTACCCACATGTATTTTGATATATTTTTCATATACACATATATATAATATATATAAATATATAAAATATATGAAAAATTGATGTGGGTACTCAAATGAAAGGTCTCGATGAATCTAACATCGAGATGAGCTTATATCTTTAAAAATGTCAATAGTTCACAAGATACAAGGTCATTTCTTAATTACGTATCTAGAAATAGAACATTTTCGAATGCAGTCTTAATACTTATCATCATAAAGTGATTATTATTGAGAATGAATAGAAACCTTGAAAAGGCACAACTCCAGGTCAAGACTTTTCTAATGATACAAAATTTAACCATAAAAACCCCTTTTACCATATAAATACACTGGCCACAAAATTTTTCTTAATAATATAGATAATTTATTCCAGGGACCCAAAGGTGACCGAGGGGTCAATCGCTTTACGTTCTACAATACCAAAGGCGTCATGGGTGAACCTGGTCTACCAGGACCTCCAGGTACTCTACATGAATTTATTTTTATTAATTATTAATTATAATTTTTATTAATGCTCAATTTTTTTTTATCAGGATTCCCTGGAAGCGAAGGAATGATGGGAATGCCAGGACTAGACGGCCTTCCAGGTCTCGAAGGTGAACGTGGTGATGACGGAGAAGTTGGACCCGCTGGTCCTGACGGCGAAGACGGTCGCCCTGGACGCCAGGGAGCTCCAGGCTCAGCTGGTCGTCAAGGACCATCTGGATTCACTGGTCTACCAGGAGATGACGCTCTTCCTGGACCTGGACCTAGAAGTCGAGGCTTCCACTTTGCTCGGCACTCTCAGACAGAAATGATTCCTCAGTGTCCTCGTGGATCGACCAAACTTTGGGATGGATTTTCTCTGCTTCACATTATGGGCAATGGTCATCCTTGGGCTCAAGATCTTGGTAAGTTCTTTTTTATTTTTTTAATAAACATAAAATAAACTTATTAATTTTTTTACATTTAATTTTTTTAAATTAAAATTTTTATGAATTCCTTTAAAATAAATTTTTTATTAATTTTTTTAAATTAAAATTTTAATTAAACTAAGAATTTTTTATTTTTTAATTTATTTTAAATTTATTATTTTTTAATTAAAAGAATTATTATTTATTTTCTAAGTAAATTAATTTTAAATTAAATTACTTTTAACAGGAGCTGCTGGTAGTTGTGTCAGAAAATTCTCAACAATGCCTTTCTTATTCTGTAATTTGAACAACGTGTGTGATTACGCGCAGCGTAACGACTACAGTTACTGGTTAAGTTCAACAGAACCAATGCCGATGATGATGACACCAATCCCTGCTCGAGAATCCGGACGGTATATTTCCAGATGTTCGGTCTGCGAAGCTCCAACCCGCATGATAGCTGTTCACAGTCAGTCTATGACAATTCCGTCCTGTCCTGGAGGTTGGGACGAAGCTTGGATCGGTTACAGCTTCCTTATGGTAATTAATTAATTATTATCACCTAAAATAAAATAAACAAATTAATTAATTAATTATTTAATGATACTTAATAATAAAATTAAATTAAAAAATCAGCATCGTGACTCTGGAGCTGCTGGAGGTGGTCAATCTCTAATCTCACCGGGATCCTGCTTGGAGGAATTCCGCACCCGTCCGTTTATCGAGTGCCGTGGTTTAGGCACTTGTAATTACTTCTCAACAGCGATTTCATACTGGCTGGCGACCATAGAAGACCACGAGATGTTCAGAAAGCCGCAACCGCAGACACTCAAGGCAGACCACACATCCAGGGTAAGTAGGTGTGCTGTTTGTGTAAGACGACAAATCACCGAGGAAAACGGAACCCGGTTGAAGCCTATCACCACCAACGGATCTCGCTACCCGCCTCAGAATTATAATCCTCAAAGAGTTCTAACAATTGGTGGTGTTCAGCCAATTCAATCTCTTACACCAGTTCAACCTTATGATAACGCTCAGCGACGAAGACCTACTCAAGGAAAACCTTATTACGAACGACCTCAAGGTTTTGACCGAACTCAAGGATTTGATCGAACTCAAGGATTTGATCGAACTCAAGGCTATCATCGACCTCAAGGATTTGAGCGACCTCTGAGCTACGAGCGACCTCAAAGCTCCTACCGTAGAAATCAGCAGTTCCGAAGACCAGAGTATCTTAATGAGGTCAACAATTGATCGTCTAGTACTTCTCAGCATCTTATAGAGTACTCACATCGATTATTTAATTAATTATTAATAGATTAATCTATGTATATAATTATAATAATTATTTAGCTGGTTTAAGTTATGATAATACTGTTGGATCCATCAGGCACTGATTTATCAAGTGCTGTGCCATAATTGTACCATGTACATTTAAAAATTGCTATTTCAAGTTTTATATTATAATTATACTGCCAAATATATTTTAATATAGTTTGCACTAAATATATTTTTAACATTATTATTATTATTAATATTAATATTATTACTATCAATATTAATTATTTTATGTCAAAGTATGTTACTCAAATTTTATTAAAATACTTTTTGATAAGTTTTTTTTGGATTTTTTATTTTTTAACCAGAAAAATAATCACATGTTTTAATTTATGAGTTAAATATTATTGAATTAATGTTTTTTTACATTAATAATAAATTAAGTTGAATAATAGTAAAAATAAAAATCTCACAATTTTTAGAATTTTTTTTAACACAAAAAGTACTTAAAAAAAAATCCCTATGTTGAAATTTTTAATGGAAATTAATTTATCAGATACTTAATCATTTTTTTAACAAATAAATTATGGCAAAATAAAATTGTCATGTAAAAATTTTAAAAAATAAAAAATTCAATTTTTTGGAACAAATTTGTTTGTTAAAAAAAATTATCAAGTGACTGTTAAAACTTTAATGTCATCATTTTTTAAAGAAGTATAAGTTTAATTTAAAGAAAAAATTGTTTCTCAGGAATAATTGATTTTTTAAATGAAAACAAAAATGAGTCAGGTATCAGCTGATTTAAGGATCATTAAATCATCTATGGGCCAGTTTTTCAATCCAGGATAAAATTTTATCCAATGATAAAATATATCTATATATTTCATATAAATAAATATACTGGCAATAATAATTTTATCCTGGATAAAATTTTATCTTGGATTGAAAAACTGGCCCTATATTATTACGAGAATAAGCAAATATTTGTAGCTAGTGTATTTATATGATAAAATGGGTATTTATGGTTAAATTTGGTATCGTTGGAAAAGTCTTGACCTGGAGTTGTGCCTTTTCATGGTTTCATATCATTCTCACCAATAATCAATTTATGATGATAAGTATTTAGGTTGCATTCGAAAATTCTCTATCTTTAGATGCATAATTAAGAAACGACCTTGTATCTTGTGAACTATTGACATTTTTAAAGATATAAGCTCACTCCGATGTTACACTCATCAAGACCTTTCATTTGAGTACCCACATCAATTTTTCATATATTTATATATATAATATATATGTATATATGAAAAATAATGACATTAAAGTTAGCAGTCACTAGAGAATTTTTCAATTTTTTTTAACAAACAAATTTACTCAAAAAAATTATTTTTAAAAAATTGCATTTTTAATTTTTAAAAACTTTTACATGTCAATTTTTTTTTGCCATAATTTATTCGTTAATAAAATTTCTAAAAATTATTAAATATGTGCTAAATTTATCATCATTGAAAAATATATCAAAAATGCATGTGGGTACTTGAATAAAAGGTCTTGATGAGTATAATATCAGGATGAGCTTATATCTTTAAAAACGTCAATAGTTAAAAAAGTACAGTGCAATTTAACAAAAGTCATTATTCAATAAAGCAAAATTTTATTTATTTATCAGTGACATATAGTGACTGCAAGGTTGCTAGTTGGTATCCTAATATAAAATTGAGATGAAATGTATGTGGCATCAAACTATTCGTAACGTGATTGGTTGAATATATCATAAGCATGAAAATATATGCAAACTCTATAGTCAAAGCGCGCGCTTGCGTGCGTAAATTCAAATTCTAGTGATTCATTAAAAAGAATAAGGAAAAAATATATTTAAATTATTTTTACAAGCCCACTATGTAGATATATGTACTATTCTCCCTTTTAAGGTAAATAAAATTAAAAGAGTTTAAATAAAATAAAAATACAGTGTAATATATTTATATGTACTCATTACGCGACACTATCAATAAAAGGCAAAGTCCATAAATCCATAAAGACAGCTAAGTGTAACTATCGGTTGTTAAAGATGAAAATACAAAAAATGTCCAGCAACGGATAAATACATAAAATTGGCGCCACTGTCGAAATACCAGAGTGACGCTAGTGTCTGGCAATGAAGAAGGCCTGGCCACGCCACGCAAGGCAATTGCAGTCCAGCCAGAGTTAATTCCGCCATAGCGGTGTGTACCATATTATCCGAGTTGTTTGTTAACAAAACGTCTGACGCGACGCCTTACCGACGCTCGGCGTCATTTTCTATTAATGCGCTAACGGGTAATACTAAGTTTATTAATATTTTCAATAATACATTAATTATCATTGTACTAACAAGTGTTTTTTATTTTACAGTTTAAACTACCGGGTGATTACTGAACGTGACAAATATTTATTATTATCATGGAAAATAGAACGACCACGACACTCCGTTCCAGGCGAGTTTGCCGATTTTGCCTGTGCGAGAATGAACCTCTGCACTTCATCTACGAGCGAGATCCAACCAGACCCTTTCAAGTGCCGCTATCTCTGCAAATAATGTCTTGTGTTTCCATTGAGGTACTTTTTGCTTTTTATTATTCTACTTTTATCAGTTTTTCTTTTTTATTATTTTTCATTTTGCTGCTGGGAATTGTTGTAGCGTATCATTCCATATCATATGTAGTGTTAGTACTCAATAGACAATCATACATTTACTATGGGTGATTTGGTAATTGATGTATCATGTAGCGTGTAGCATGTAGGGACGATCGGCGATGTAGGGGCAGCTTGCTAAGACGACTAGTCAATATTTCTGTGTTGGTAAAATCATTTTCTAAATTACTTTATGAGGTTCGATCAATTGATTATTGATTTTTTTATTTTTTTACCGCGTGGTTTACTCATTTAATTAATTTTTATTTTTTTTTTAATTTAATAACTTTAATTTTTTATAAATTACTCATTATTTAGAATTTTTTCATTTTTATTTTTGAATTGCATTATTATTATTTTTTAAAAATTGAATTTTATTTTGGAGTATATTTACAACAAAGATTTTTAATAACTTTATTGCACGCCTTATAATCGAAGCGTTGAGGTAGAGCTCTAGTCTCGAAATTTCAAATAAAGCAGTTTTCTCGAAACTGAAATTGATTTTTTTTTATTTATATCGCACTTACAGGTTAATCTGAGTGTACTAATATCAAGTCAAATAATTTGTCAGGCACATAAAATATATTTTCTGGACGTCCGTTTGTCTGTGTCGAAAAAAATTGGTCGAAAAAATGATCGTACCGGAATAATTTTTTTTTTTATTTTCTAAAGTAAAATACGATGGACTTCAAATGTCGTCAAATTATTATTTATAAAAAACTAATAAATTAATTAATTTATTTATTTATTTATTCATATGCCAATCGGCTTTATACATTAGATTTACATCAATTAAATTTGGTTATGAGTGAAAAAAGAAAATAAAAATAAAAATAAGGTAAAAAGAGTATTAAAATTTCAATAGAATTAAATTTAAATTAAATTAAATAAAATCAATTTCATTTACTTTATAAGTTTAAATTATTAGTATTATAAAAAAAAAATATCTCTAGAGTATATGGCTGTATTTTTTTTTGTATATCTATCTATAAATTTTATTATATTATTTTTTTTCTTCACTTTAGAATTATGGCACTATTAAACCATAGCAGAGTTTTCTGTTTTTTATTATTTTGCTTTTTATATTTTATTTTAATCAATTTTATTGTGAAAAATGAGATTATGAGGCGTGGACTTTTGGATTTTCCAAACTTTATTATAAATTTTATAGATTTTGTTTATTGATGCCAAGGCACAGGCCAAATGGCAATTTCTATTACATAATATATACAGTTTTTACAAGAAAATAATTTCTGTGAGTACATAACATGGAATTGCATAAAAATTAATTTAAATAATTTGTGTATAAATAAGGTAAAATCAAATTAAATTTGGAAATTGATATAGAAAATAATTTAAAATATAGAATTTTAATGTCACTAAATCAGAATGATAGTATAATAATTCTGCGAACTGCACTTATTTTATCCTTATTTTAATCTTCAATCTTTAATGTATTAAATTAAAATTTGTTATTTATTAGACGTTGTTTTAATTATCAAGATTTAATAAATAATTGAAAACTTTTTTAAAGACGAAGTTCTTCCCAAAGCCTTATTACAGTCACTAAAAAAGATTTCTCTAAGTAGCTTGTAGTGAAAAGAGGTAGTTTGAAGGACGTGTGCTTTTTTGCAGACTTATAATAATTCTCTTAAATAAAAAATTTCCTAATAAAAAAAAAAAAATAAAAAATTTTCAGGTGTACGCTGCTGACGGAATGCCTCAAATGATCTGCAAAGTGTGTCGTTGGAACTTGGACCGTTCTTACAAATTCAAGCTGCAGTGTAAAAAAGCCGACGACGCACTACGAGCATACCCAGCAACGGGCGTGCTTCCACGACCCTTCCCACCGATCACCAACGACTCAATGGACGCTAGCAATAAGCGATCCGCGGAGCAACGTAGCCAATCAGAACAAGTAACCAAAAAGCCGCGAGTCGACAACGGAGATCGCGACCGTGAGCGCCGTGAGCGTCAAGAATCCACCAAATCCGACCGCGAAGAAATCTACAAAGAAGAGCACAGTGAAGCCGACGAAGAATCAATGGACGACAAATCCTCAAAATTAGAACCTGGCGAAATCCGGGTCCACGCTTGCGATCAATGCGACCGCACTTTCCCACTCCGCCAAGCGCTAGTTCTCCACATCCAGCGAGCTCACCGCGATCGCACCCACAAGTGCACCGAGTGCGACCGCATGTTCTTCTCAAAGTACGACTTGCAGAAGCACATGAGCACCCACGCCGAGGAGAAGCCCTATTCCTGTAGCATCTGCCAGAAAACGTTCACTCGCGCTAATCTCCTCGCCCGTCACGAGAAGATCCACCACGAAGACATGCGTTACAGCTGCCAGCACTGCGACCGCGAGTTCTTCACCCGCGAGGACCTGGAGAAGCACGAGGACACCTCTCACAAGTCAATCAAGCCCTTCTCTTGCAATATTTGCAGCAAGAGATTCACTTACAAGCAGAGTCTGGAGCGCCACGAGATGCAGCACTCCGAAGACAAGAGTTTCACTTGCGAGTACTGCAAGGAGGCATTTAGGACCAGCACCAAGCTCGCGAGACACTTGCAAACCCACGCTGGACATCGTCCGTACCTTTGCAAGCTCTGTCCTCGCGATTTCTTGCTGTCTCACCATCTTTCTCGGCACATGCGGACCCACTCTGTCGAAAAGCGGCACATCTGCGAGGAGTGCGGCAAGGCATTCAAGCGCAAAGAGAGCCTGGAAGTCCACCAGCTCACCCACAGCAAACGCACCGGGCTCGGTCTCACCTGCGACGTCTGCCAAGAGTCTTGTCGCAACCGCGCTGACTATGTAACTCATATCAAGCAACACATAGAAGCCGGAGAGAAGATGGGCCCTGACGGTCTCTCTCCTGAAATTAAAGAAAAATTGGAGTCTGAATCCGAGGAGGAAGAGGAAGAAGAACAGTTCTCTGATGGAGACGATGACTACGAACCTCCTGCTTCTTTGCTGAAGAAATATCCCAAGCAGGTTCCTAAACAATCCGAGGAGAGCGAAGAAGAGCCTGACCAACGCGTTGTTAAGGAAGAGCCCAAGGAACAGGTGGTCTTTGTTCGTGCTAAGGACGGCCAGATTGTCAAGAAGACTATCAAGACCATGCTCCCGACTCAGAGGAAGGAGACTCCTGAAGCTAAAGTCGTTGCTAAAAGCCCAGCTCCGAAGGCTCATCAGAAAATTGAGAGTTCTCCGAAGGGAAAAGACGAAACTGAAGCTGAGGTTCAGAAGATTGTCGCTTCTGTGTTCCAGGAACACAAGGTTGCTTTGAAGGCAAGCACTCCTCAGGAACCGGCCAAGGTTCGCTCCCAGGTTATCAAGGAGGAGAAGATTGAGGGGACTCCCAAGACTGTTACCCAGGTTACGAAGAGAATTGTCGTTCGTAAACCAGCTGCTGAAACTCCTACGGCTGCTCCGGCTACGCCTGTCAAGGAAGATGTCAAGCCAGCCACTCCGGCTGTTAAGAGCACCAAGAGGGTCATTGTTAGGAAGATCATTCGCAAGGGCAACACTGAGCATGTTGAATGGCGCTACCAAGACGGCACTGAGATTGACTCGGCTGATCTTGCCAAGTTGACCACCGGACAAGTGGTGAAACGCGTTGTCAAGACCATCACCAAGCCCAAGGTCACCCAAGCGGTGAAAGTCGCCGAGCAGAGAGCTCCAGTTGAGGCTCCGAAGTTTGAGCTGAAGACTTCGCAAGCCAGTGCGACTATCACGCCGATTCCGGCTCCTGATAATAAAAATGATAAAATTTCGGAGAAGGTTGAACAGCTGGAGAAGACTGTCGCGCAGCAGCGCTTGCAGATTGAGGAACTGAGGAGCAGGAAGGATTCTTATGAGCCTGCTGATGACATGATGCCGGATAGACATGATTCTGAAGACGAGCAGGAGCTGCCGCTCAAGCGTGTGTTTGTCAAGACTAACCAGAGCATTTATGATGAGGAGAAGACTTATGACGCGGATGAAAAGGCCACGATTAAGAAGGTTGAGAAGAAAGAAAAGGAGAAGAAGGTTTTTATTAAGACGGAAGAACCGTCGGAGGTTGAGCAGATGAGCATTGAAATCAACTCGATGATTGCTGAGGATAAAAAAGCTGCTGAAGCTGCTGCTGCTGCTGCCGAGGCTACGGTTGATACTGCTACTGTTGAGTCTGAAGAGGTTGAGCCGGAAAAAGAAGAACCCATGGAAGTTGAGGAAGCCAAGGAGCCGGAAAAAGAAGCTGAGGTGGAGAAGGAAAAGGATGAGAAGGTTGAGGAAAAACAAACTGAAGATGTTGCTGCGGTGTTGGAGCAGCAGGACGAAGCCGAAACTTCGGACATTTTTGACGCGCCGTCTTCCCCGCTGGAGAAAAATAGTTCTAATTTGGATGAGTCGGTTGTCGCGCTGAGCCAGGGGAATGATACGATTAATTTGAATGACACTAATGATAGTCAGGACAGCTTGGAGGACAAGCTCTCAAGAATGGACGGTTGATTTATATATGGATTTTATTTAAATATTATAAAATATTTGATAATTAATGTGGAATATTTCAATAATGTTCTATGATTCTATAATAATTTTTTAGGTGATTATTATTTCTAATCTTCTTGGAATATGATATAAATAAATATATTAAGCGAAGACATTTTTGGTCAGTGGATTTTAAAATCCACCCCCCCCCCTCCCTCCCAGGTATAATTTTATTTTTTCTATGGAATATTTAATTTTTTAATTCTGGAGCTGCTTGATTCTTTTGACATTCAGGGTTTCGAGAGTATTTTTAAGGCAATATAAATTGGAGGTTTGTTACTGCAAGTACTGATTTAAGTTTAAAAATAAAAATAGAGTCATTTTGAATTTAAGCTCAGCAAAATTGTATTATGCGAAAAATTGTAAATATATCATATATTGTTCCTAGAATTGTAATAAGAATTATTGATTTTATGTATATATATATAAATCGATCAAAGATTTAGTGGTACGGAATGCTTTGATAAGCTGGAACAATTTTGATATGAAAATTGGATATAATTACAGCAGTACGAGCAGTAAAATGAAATATATATTATTATTAAGTAATAAAATTGAATTTTAATTATTGTAAACCAACATTTGAGATAAAGGTATCTTATTATCCAATAAAATGTGTGGTGTGTAAATTTCATTCATTTTTCTTTTCACCCATTCCTTTAATTTTTATTTTTAAGTTAATTTATTGTTTAGATTTTTAATAAATATCAAGGTTATAATTATTAATATTTATTTCATACAAATTTTTTTATTTCTTCTTACATAAAATATTAATATTAATTTACATTTGATAAATATTTTTATAGTAAACGGAAGCACTCTTAATTTTAGTAATTAAAAAAAAAAACTCTGGCAATAAAGGCCGGCAGTAAAAATACTTAATATATATGTAAATAGTTATATAAATATATAGATATGAAATATGACAATGAGAAGTTACGCAGACAATTTTTTATGCTACTGAAATTAACATCTCATTAGTTAGTTTTTTAAAACAAATAAATTACTACTGAAGAAATACTAAAAAAAAAAGCTAGTAATAAATTATAAAAATTTTTAGATGTCGGTTATATAATTTCAGTACCATTTTTAAATAACTTGTGATAATAATAATTAAAAAAAATAGTGAAGAATAAATCTCCATAAAATACTTTAACAATTTTCTTTAAGAACATAAACAGATAAAATAAATAAATACTTATGTTGAATTTTTAGAATATTTAACTGATGAAGAAGAACTGGATCTCTTGTAAGTGAGTACGGGTGATGAGTATAGCCGGATGACTATATGAGTGATTATTGGAGTAATCTCAAGCAGGTGTTCCCTTCCTGGTAGTTAGTCTGTGAAGCTACAAAAAAAGATTTTCCTTATTTTGTGTTCTTTCCACAAGTTTTTCTTCAAAGCCCGCCTCGTCCGCTGTCAATGTACTCGAACCGCTGAGGGCAATGACTAATTACAGTAATCATAATTTATTTATTTATTATTATTATTAAAAATTTTTTAATAATAAAAAATGTAAAAAAAAAAAACATGACTTAATTTAATTTAAGTATTGAAAAATTATTATTATTATTTTTATTTAAAAAAAATGTCAAATTAAGAATAATAATAATAATAAATTTCAATAAATTAAATTCTTTAGAAGAATTGAAAAAAAAAAAAACATTACTTTTTCAATTTAATTTAAATATTGAAAAATTATAATTATTATTTTTATTTAAGAAAATGTCAAATTAATGATAATAATAATAATAATAATAATAATATATTTCGACAAATTAATTTCTTCAGAAGAATTAAAAAAAACTACTTTTTTTAATTTAATTTAAACTTAAAATAAAAATAATTATGATTTAATGCTTATTAAATAATTACTTAATTAATAAATCCCCAACTTACCTCTTTTTCTTCAGTAGCAACCGAAGAATAATTTTTCGGAAGTTCAGGTTCGTTAGCCGGACCAATTGCGTGGGTGTAAATAAGCCCTCCAGCGATTCCTCCGAGGATAGGTCCTACCCAGTAGAGCCAGTGATTATCAAAGCTGCCCATTACAACGGAGCTGCCCAAAGATCTAGCAGGGTTCATTCCAGCCCCAGTTCTTGGGACTCCGACAATATGTCCTACAGTGACGGCCAGCCCGATTATCAGAGGCGCGATTCCTTTGCTCTCCGGCTTTGCGCCGTCGCAAGCTCCGCAGACGACGATCACCAGGATCAATGCCAGGAAGAATTCGACCCCTAGACCTTGGACGGGAGTCACTCCAGGAGCTAAGCTCACTAATCCCAAGAATGCTTCCATCGTTTCTGGAGATAGAGCTCGGATCATCGCTGACCCGGCTATTGCGCCTATGCTTTGCGCTATTACGTACAAAAGTGCTCTGACAACTGGTATCTAGGTAAAAAATTTAATTATTTATTATTAATTATTAATTATAAATACTAACAACCTTGCAGTCACTATGTGACTGCTGCGACTTGTGAACTATAAATACATAAAATTTTGCTTTATTGAATATTGATTTTTGTTAAATTGCACTGTACTTTCTTAACTATTGACATTTTTTAAAATATAAGCTCATCCCGATGTTACACTCATCAAGAGCTTTCATTTGAGTACCCACATGCATTTTCATATATTTTTCATACATACATATATATAATTTATATAGATATATGAAAAATCGATGTGGGTACTCAAATGAAAGGTCTTGATGAGTGTAACATAGGGGTGAGCTTATATCTTTAAAAATGTCAATAGAAAAGATACAAGATCACTTCTTAATTACTTTAAATTGCACTGTACTTTCTTAACTATTGACATTTTTTAAAATATAAGCTCAT